GGTGGTGTGGTGGCGACAGTGATGATGGTGGGACGGTGGTGGTGGAGTTGCAGCGATGACAGTGGTGATGGTGGTGGTGGGGGTGAGAGTGGTGGTGGTGGGAGTGGGGTGACAATGGTGGTGGTGGTAGTGGGGTGACAACGGTTGTGGTGGTGGGGGTGATAGTGATGGTGGGGCAGTTGTAAACACTATTTTTTTTAAAGTACTTATGAGAAGTTATAAGTCTCTTTAAAAAGTTATCTCAAACACACCCTTAGACCCCTATTTTTCTTATTAAATTTGAGGTGTTAATATTAATCGTCAGATTAATTTTAAAGTAAAATTTAAAGAGATATCAATCGCGAAATGTAAAAGTTATTTTTGTTTATCTTTTAAGATTTGAATTGTATTGTACTTTGTTATATAGATTATATGTTATATATACATTATTTTTATATATAGATATAGTGGTAAAATTACGTATCTATACTTTTTTCATTATTCTACTTTTTCATCCAACTAAACACAAAAAAAATAAATTATTTTTAATTTCTATCCCTCGTACTAAACACAAATGAGTGAAAGAATAATTCATCCCTTAAATGATAGAAAGTGCATCACTTCTACTTTTCATCCTCTCATTTTTTTATCCACCGTACAAAACACGTCATTAGTTAATTGAATATAACAAGCATTAGTCTCTTGTTTTAAAAGAGAGCTGTCACAAAGAAATGCTTGGTTAAAACCTCAACAGTATCTTGTAAAAAAAATCCATATCAACCACAAAGTAAAAAAAAAAAAAAAATCCATCTGCTAGACTAAATTCAAAAATTAATATGTAGAAGTAATATAGATTGGGGTTTTTTGCGTTTTGTACTTTGAAAGATTTTAATATTTTTTTTTGTACCTTTAAAGATTAAATTTTTTATATTACACACTCTATGTATAAAAAATGTTGCAATACTGCCCCTCATATTAGTTTTTGTTATTTTTTTGTCAAAAGCTAACTTATTGATATTGACGAAAAAATTAACCAAATGATCACATCGTAGTATATTAAGGGTATAATATAATTAAAAAATTAATATTTGAGAGTGCAAAGTAAGAATTTTGAAATCTTTCAAGGTACAAAATATAATTCTGCCTATGCCTATAGATAGATAGATTGATAGACTATAAGACTTATTAATTCAAAATTCCAAATTCAACTCTCATTTTATAATCTAACTTTATTTCATGTATACAATTAGCTATATCTACAATCTTTATTATAACTTTAAGGAGATATTTGTTTAGTGTATAAAAAGTGACTAAATTAATTTAATTGTCATTTAATATTAAGTTTGGATCAATTTATAAGTAGCATCGATAAGTTGTTAAAAGTAATATTTAACACTCCATATTTGGTATAAATTAATACTATATAATATGTGATATTAAATTAAATTTGACATGATTGATGTTTATTGTTGCACGGATAATCCGTGTTTAAATGCACAGTACAATGTAAATGATTTTGAGAGGAATATTGGCGGCCGTTGGATGAGTATATTTGAAATTGTCGAATAAACTTATTGAAATCTGTCATATTTTATATTATAGATATAGATAGGATACATTAATTCCTCATTCCCTAACACTATTTTTTTTAGGGTTATTTTAGGATTGACCCGCCCAAACATGCACTAAATCTAAAACAAGGGGATGAATCAAAGTAACAAAGAAAATAAATAATCCAAAAATATCACCGTCCAATTTCTGTTTTAATTAAAAAAACATTCCCCCAGGCGAATTTCTTATTCTCACGGTACTTGAAATGAAGAAGAAATTATCAATAAATTTAACAGAAAACTGATTGCTACGCTTATGGACGCCGCCCCTGAGCTCTCTTTGATTTTTCATTCACGTATTATAGGATGTAAAATTACCAAAATAGGCATAAAAACATTTGAGTTAATTACAAAAATTCCTTAAACTTAGGGGTTCTTACACATCACCCCCTCAACTATTATGAGCTTCACTTTAATTCATTCAACTTATAAATAAAATGCAAATCATAAATCAGAATAAGGGGTAATAAATCTCGTAAAAATCTAAAATATCCAACGTTTTTGTTTTGAATTTTCTTTGCGATGCCATCCCCTTAAAAAATATATGAGAGTAGAAAGGAAATCTATAATAACCAATCTTCAACTACCAAACATCATTGTTGATAGACATAATTTTGACATTGGTCTTTGAATCATGTTGGTCATAAGGTGGGAAAAATATTGTTGACACGTTTGCAATCATATGTATATGTGTTAGGGGAAACATGTCATCTGACACCGCCCATGGACATCTGAATTAATCATTGACACACGTCTGATGCAGGAGAACATGCTTGGGTTAGCTTAATAAACACTCAATAGTGCATGATTAACGGTAACGATGATCTTTTACACCAAAAACTCAATTAACCCCAACTATAAAAACTCTCATTAATTAAGGTTTAAAGGTGAGTAATTCTTAGCAAAGATACATACACGAATAGTTATTATTTTTTTATTGCATTTGACCTTTATAAAATCTGTTAATTGACTTAAGGATTGGAGGTGGTTCAGCTAGCGATATACTAGTTTCTTACTTGAAGCTTTCTTTTACAAGCCTCTGGATTTCTAAGCTAGCCAAAGTAGACAAAGATCTTCATACAACGACCTTTCTATTAAAATCCTCTAAAGTTCAGAACCAAAATACTGATTGATCCATCAATTGCCTTGATTAACTCTAATCATCACAATGTATAAAGTACTTAGACCACCAAATTGTGCGTGAGAGAGATGAAGCTGAAAGAGAGGGGTAATGGAGACGAAGAGAGAGAGAGTAAGGCTTTTATTATTTTGTGAAGAGATATATGGACAAATAAAATTATCATTTAATATGTTATTTTAAGTAAATAATTATCTGATTCTCAGCTCACATGCTTATTTAATGTGTGTAACACACTCATTTTTGAAATAATAGCATTTGCACTATATTCGCAAGTATGAGGGACTTAGTTTAATGTGAAATAGTTGAGGGAGTGATATGCAACTGATCTTAAAGTTAAGGGCTAGTTTTGTAAATCATATTGTTTTGTTTTCTGCGTTACATTGATCTGAATTGTCAGAGACACCTTCCGCACCAACCTCCGAATGTCCTCACTCGGCCAAAAGGGTAAAGGTCATTCTTCTTCCTTCCTTCGCCACCTGCTCTCTCTCTGTCTCTCTCTCCGGCTTTTTTGTGAATTTCTCTCACCAAGACACACTCCTTCTCAAGGTCTCCTGGTGAATTGTTTCTCTATCCCTCTCTCCCCCATGTGGTAAGGTTTAGGTTCGGTGGTGGTTGCGTCCATGGAGAGGAAGGAGGAAACGAGTACTTCATGGAGACAGTTGAAAGCTATGCTTCGGAAGAACTGGCTTCTCAAAATTCGTCACCCTTTTGTTACATGCGCCGAGGTATATGAGACGCTCGCGAACATCTGTAGTTACATGTCTTTTCTGATTTCTTTTGAGTTTTACTGTAATATTGATTGATTTTATTATGTATTTTTTGGCGTAATTAGGTTAACCACTTGCTTAGCATATGCTCTTCTTTAAAAATTGGGAGTTTCTTTGATGGTTGATCTCTCACAGTTATTGTTTTCACGTTTAGTTGACTCTTGAGAGTTGAGAGTAAGAATCGATTTTTGAGGGCTAGTTTTGTTGGTGATCATATTCTGTTGGGATACTTGTAATCTTATCATCATCACTGGATCTTGACTTTTTGGCTATGATAGAACGAAGTGGTTATGATTCACTAGGAGCTGATCGGTTTTGTCTTTTAAATATTTTTGGGGAAAAAGTTGACCGAAGTTTGAGCTTGAATGCTTAATTTCTATTTTTTTTTCAGATATCTTTTATCCGCATAAAATTCCGACTTTGGAAATATTATAATCCCAAACTTGAGATTTTTATATTATTTGCAATGGAAGTATTGCAGTTTTTTTTTTTGTTTTGTGTATTTATATGTCACTCCTTTTGGGCAGATTTTTCTTCCAACAGTTGTAATGCTTCTGCTAATAGCGGTGAGGACGCGAGTTGATACAAAAATTCACCCATCTCAGCCGTATGCCTTCTTCAACTGTGGTTACGTTCTATGATAAGTACACAAAATTATATGCCATTATATTTAGTAACTTCTATCCAGCATTTGGTTGCTGCATGATTGTGAAATGGAGAAGACATGGGAGTAGTTCACAATGCCAAATTGGTGTAATCTGTCAAGTATAAGTGATTTTTGTGTTTTTAAGTCTTGGATGATGAAGAAGTGTAAAATTTATACTCATGTTTTTACCCTTCTCAGTGGATTATTTAGCAACCAAATGGAGGATTGGAGTAGAGGAGGGCAATGGAAAAGAAAAAACCAGAAGTACCTTGTAAATATAACTTGGATTTCAGATTTATGTGAGAATTGTTTTCTTTTAAGGGGTTTTAAAATTATGTGTAGGTATATACGAAAAGATATGTTTGTGCAAGTGGGAAAGGATGGTACGTCCCCTCCATTCAATCAAGTTTTGGAATCTTTATTGGCCAAGGGCGAGTTTCTGGCCTTTGCACCGGATACAAGCGAGACAAGGATGATGATCAATATTTTATCTCTTAAATTTCCTCTATTGAAGGTACTTATTTTGCCTCTGTGTAGCACATTGTGTTACTTAGTTTGGAATTTAATTTTCCTTCAATATGTTGCTTAATTTAAGTAGTTTTGGGTTTTTCATTATCTTTATTTCAAAATGTTTCATTCTGCTTTCGTGATGATAATAAATCGGATTGAAAAAGTAGTAAATTAATATCAAGTTGATGACTAGTTGCCTATCATATTGTGCCAATGTTGTGCCATTGGAAAAACTTGTAAATGCCTGTGGTCTTGTACGGTAGTATCTACATGATCTTGTTCACTCACTCCTGTACGTACGTGATCTTGTTCACTCACTCTTGTACCTACGTGATCTTGTTCACTCACTCTTGTACCTACGTGATCTTGTTCATTCACTCTTGTATCTACGTGATCTTGTTCACTCACTCTTTCTGGGAGCTTGTATGTTGTTTATGCAAGTATGGTTTGAGCTATCAGTGACTCACTATTGTCAATGTGAGCTATGGTTGGATTCAACCAGTTTCTCAATGCACATGCATGGAGCCAGTTATGGGCTAGAGGGGCCCCTGGACTTTTCATTTAGAATTTATACTGCTATGTATATAGTCTTGTACGGTTGTACCTATGTGATCTTGTTCACTCACTCTTTCTGGGATCTTGTATATTGTTCATGCAAGTATAGTTTGATCTAATTAGAAGACTGATGTGATGTGAGTGAGATTTATGTTACTAGTTATTCTTGGTGATGGGTGGTAAAACCAGAAAAGATAGATTCAGAATGAGTATATAACGACGGTACATGGAAGATACATTAAGAGAAACTCAATTTTGTTTACTTGGACTTGCTTATAGAAGTTTTATTGTTCCACTAGTAAGGGAGAGTGATATGGTGCATATCAGTGGTAATGTGAGGAGCAAAGGTACGGGTGTAATTATTTCAAACAGAGGCACATTAAGGATATTGAACCAACTTTTGCGCTAATAGTTTTAGCTTTGATAGCATTTTCTAATCTTTGGTCTTTCTACATCAACTGTAAGAAGGTTGACATCAGCTTTGGTTCCTCTTTTCTTTTGATTCTTTGTCTATATACTAATTTTCCTTGAGGAGTTTCTGAGTTTTGATATCATTTGAGGATTCTGCATTGTAGGCTCTGGCTTCTTATGTGTTTCTTGGAGCTCTGTTTCTTCCTGCCCTCATTCTTCTAGTTAACCTAAGAGACCCATGGTCCTCTGCTATGCATTTTATTGTACTTCCAATTAAGTTTCTTGCAAATTTTCAATGCTTGTATAAGGTACAAGGTTGAATAAGTACGCAACATTTCTGACGTGAAATTGTACAAATTCCATATGAACAAGGACTTAATAAACGAACTACTTTTCACCAGAAATCAAATGAATAAACACAGTTTTGTGCTGTCTTATTTTTTTTTTTTTT